CTTTCCCTTCTATTTTCTTGGTGAATTTTTCTGGAGCAAGATAGATGGGAGATCTTTCAGCATCAGAATTACTAGGAAAATTCTTCAGGCAAGTCTACCCGATTTAATATCACATTCTGGTAATCTAACTTTAGTAGTTAGGCTTCCCTGACTTGAGAGCCATATTGTAAAACCATTCATAAAGAGTTTAGGCTCTTGTGTTGGGTATTTTGTTTATTTAAAAAGTAAAGTAAAAGGGAGGAATAGAAGACTCTTTAAAAAATTCTTGTTCAGCCCCCGTATGCGAATCAGTGCAGTAGAGCGGATATAAACAAGACAAGAAGAGCTTCAAATTAAGGTTGGTCTCTATATTGTCTGTATTTATATATTATTTTGTAATATGCTAGTGATTTGTCCACTTCAGTTTATCTTCGTGGAAGGGTCTATTATAGTGGCGAAATTGTGCTTTGTCCTGGCTTTTAATGTGTGACTAACTTAGCCTCCAATTGCCCATCTGATGTGTAAATGTTTTTCCCACTGTACAAGCATTAACCCCATCATTTAAAACTGAATGTGTGGTTTAAGGGAGAGGGGATGAGTATGGTTCTCAAAACAAGACCTGATACTAGATTCCTAGAGCTCAGTCCAGTTGTCTTTCTTGCCAGCCTTCTAGAATAATAGAATAAAGGAGAATGCTAGACATTCCAGTTTAGTTTTAAATGTTTCAAGTCATGGAAAGTGCTCTAAATAAGCATTTGCTTAAGTGTGGTGATATGCCCCCCTGGGGTTGTCTGAAGCTGTATGCACAGCTGTGTGGAAGAAGACTTGTACCTTAAGTTGTGTACACCTTTAACAACACGTGGCAGGGTTCTGTTAGTTTCATTTTCTTGATGGTGGGGTTCTTCCAAAAGTTTGGGAAACATTGCTCTAGTTTAGACAAAAATACATGGCAGGAAATTCAGTCCAGGAGGGGAATAGGAAGGAAGGGTGGATGAGAAGTGACTTAATATATCAGACATCTCTGACCTCTTTGCTTATATAAACAGGTGTTTGGATAAGGTTGGCTAGACTTAAGTACTGAGCTGGGAGTTGGGAAACATGGGTCCAATTCCTGGCTCTGGCACTGACATGCTGTGTGACTGGGCAAGCTGCTTCACCTTTTTGTGCCTTAGGTTCCCAATCTGTAAAATGGAGAGAATAATACTGACCTCCTTTGAGGGTGGGTGGTTTAGGAAAGTGCTGTGTGAGAGCTCAGCAGTGTATAAATAGCCGAAGCTCTGTTCAGAACACTTGTACTCTGGATTCTTAGTTGAGTTTTCATTTAGCCTTAAAATCGGGGTCCAAACTAGGGATGTACAGGGTGATGCTTCCTGGTAACTAGTTAATCAGTGACCCGGCCGGGCTGGAGCAGGCCCGTGGCTGGGACCATCATGTCACACTGCGGGTGGGAGGACTTTGTTCTACAGTTAACTGGTTAAATATAGTGGTTTAACCAGTTAACTTTTTAAATAACAGTTTACATCCTTAGTCCAAACCTGGTTTGAGCCTGACATTTGGCTAAATCCAGCTTTGAATTCCATTCATTTAAACTAATGCATTTTGTCAGTTTTACTGTCTGTGGCTCCTTAGGCCCTGTCTACACTCTAACTTTTAACTGAGTTTGTAACTTAACATCTGTTTGGCTGTAAACTTAGCTTGTGCCTGTGCCCAACATGGATAATATTACACTTTATAACACTGGAAGCTGTTACACCCTTGCCAGCAGCCTGGGCTACTGCATGGCTGTGTTTCTCTAATTTTCTGGCAAAGTTTATTTGCTTTCTAGATGGGTTCCCTAACTGTGCCTGTGCATCTGAGTTGGCTGGTTTTTACTTCCTACCACTCAGAAAGCTGGGGAAGGGTATCTCAGTGCATTTCTGTATGTCTTGCTGCTTTGCGTGTATGTCGTCCTGGCACTCATCTCTTGCTAAGACATTATGGGAGATCACTTGGTTACTGTGCTGATTAGTAGTATAAATATGTGAAAAAACAATGGCCTAGTTTTCCCAGGATGCACTGATACAAACAGTGGTAGGCAGTGTGTGGTAGTGTGGATATGTGGTTGTGCTGTAGGGGGAAAAAGCCCTGTTGTGTGACCATGACCATTTTTGTTGTAACTTGGGTTAGAGATGTAAAATCCCGTTTAATTGGTTAACTGATTAAAAGGAGGAACTGGCTGGGAGAGAGCCCACTGTGGCCAGGCTGGAGCAGCCCCTTCATTGTGGACAGGGGCTGTTCCAGCCCAGCTGCTTCTGGTGGCCATGTGTAGACTGGGAGCCAGCGGCCTTGCACGGGCTGGAGGGGCAGCTCCTGGGCACTGGTTACCGTTACTTGGTAAACATCACTTGTTAAGGGTGATGGTAACTGGGTACCCATTCACATTCATAATATGGATAGATAAGGGTGTCATGATAGCCATGGTTTTGTATCCTGATCAACAGTGTGGACAATATTCCAAGCTATTTGGCACTGAAGTCAGCCATGGAATTTACATGTCATATTGAAAGCTGTGTCTCCACTGAAGAAGACACTGATAGGCTTCCTTTAAAACATGGTTCACTCCAAAAGTGGTATCAGTTTGTCAAACAATGAAAACCATGTTTAAAAACTTTGGCTACAGCAGTTCTTTCTCTAAGAGCCTTAGCCCCTGTCTATAGGACAGATTGAATCACAATGATTTTAACAAGTTACTCATGACATGTAAACAGTTCCCAGCTGTGCTAGAAAACTTGTAACTGTATTTGGCAGGTGTATAGCACAAATGTAACAGGCTTTTAAAATAACTTGCCGCTGAGTAGGATCAGCTGATGTTAAATACTCATGTCCTGTCTGCAATACAGCTTTAGAACCCCATATCATTTCAGCTGTTAGCTGTGTAACACACATACTAAACACTGTTATACATTTTTCTAGTGTGGATTGTGCTCTGTCCAGTTCACTGCAACTGTTCTGTGGCATTTCTGTTGTGTACAGTATGGAGCTTTCTGTATCTGATCCATGGCTCCTGCAGTCCAGGATCCTATTTCTGGCAATGACGAGAGGAAGGAAACTCCATAGTAGACAAATACAGAATAATACATGTATCTTTGAAAATTGCATTAGTTATTGGCTTATGCCCTGAAGAGTGTTTATACCCCCAGTATTTAAAAATAATCCTATCTAATGTGCCTTATCTCATTATCTCTATACATGTCTGGTTCTTTATTGAATTTTTGTGTCCGTTGTTTTTGCCTGTCTATACCTACCATGTTTCACAGTTGCATCTGTTTGCACTCTGGCAAAAATCAGGCAGTCATCTCCTCTTCCCTTACCTAATACCACAGGTAGACAATTGTGTGTGTCTTTTCAGATGATGTAGGACACATTGGGGGTATCCAGTTCTCAGAAGACTTGCTAAGCTTGTTATACACACACTTATGTATTCCAGTCTACTTAGCAGAAAAGAATAGCCAAGAACTTGACTGCAGGCCTGACAATCATGATGTTATTTGTTTCATGTGCAAGACTGAAACATTATGCCACATGGCCAGTTGGGAGCCATGTGTTAAATATTGTTTAGGCTTGGCAGGATTCAGTTTAAATAATTAATTGTTGGTAAATGTCAATTTCACCTGATACAGAAATATATGAAAAAAAATCCATCAACAAGAGCTAGCAAGCATGGTCTGCCCAGTACCTAAGTCTGTAGAGATCTTGTGTTCCTAGCCCTAGGGCAGTACAGGGAGCCCTCTGCAGTTCCCTGTCATGGGTCTGCACACTTGTTTACTCATGGCTGGATGTTCAGCAGTGGGTGGTCTCTTGTGGGGTGGGAGGGGGGCTTGTCCTTGTCCTTCTCTTCCTGGCCCTGACCAGGGGTCTCCGCTCCATTGGGCCAGGACTATAGCTTGTGGTTGGTGTCTCAGGCCTCACTGTCACCCCGAAAGCTCCCTGCAGGCCAGTTGTCTTTGATGCACTAACCCAGCTCCTCTTAATTTCTTGCAACTGCAAAAATTAAAATAGTTAAAAATGAAAGTCTTACAAATAAAAATATTGTCAGAATTAAAAAAACCTGAATTTTGTCAACCCTAAATATGTTGTAAATAGACATCCTAAGGCTCTGGTATGATGAAAAAGAAAACAAGCTATACTACTTTTTTCAGATTTATAATAACTATAGAAGGCCTGAAGTTAGTGCACCCCCCCAAAAAAAAGTTGTGCTTTAGAAAATTCAGGAATGCTGTACTGTGTCTTTACTTATACTGGCTCTCAGTGATATGGGATGGGACCAGGGACATAAAAATTGTGAGCTGTTGACCAATCACCCAACAAACCCAGACAAATATTCCCATGCTATAAATCAATTTTCAATTGAAACTCTGGAAGGAGATGCTGATTCAAACATGGAATCAAGAGGAAGAGGATTTTTGATGATGGAGCTTATGGCGGGGGGGAAGTACAGGTTAAACTTCCGTTGTCCAGCACCCTCAGGACCTGAGTGGTCCCAAACCACAGAATTTTCCAGACAAGGGAAGGTCAAGGCTCCCTACCTGGGTGTAGGATTCTACTCCCAGCTGGGCTGTGCTCAGTATTGCCTGCCCTGCTGCACCTAGCTCCCTTTTCCCCACATGCAGCAGCCCTGGACAGGGGCCGCCCTGCTGCCTCCAGTCCCAGCCAGGCGGCACCTCCTACATTGCTGTGCTGGGCTGCTCGCCCAGGTGCTGGCCCTGTTGACTCCAGCCCTAGTCAGGGCTGTGCTCCCTGCTGCAAGCCCCGGCCAGGACTGCGCTCCTGGCTGCCAGCCCTGCTACCTCCAGCCCCAAGCGGGGCTGCGCCCCCTGCACCTCACCAGCCATGGCTGCACTACCCACCTTGCCAGCCCTGACTGGGGCTGTGCTCCTGGCTGCTGGCCCTGCTACTTTCAGCCCTGGGGCTAGGTTCCTGTCCATCCCACTCCCCCGCCACCAGCCCAGCTTTTTTCATGTACTCTTGTTTCAAGTCTCTCTCTCTCTCTCTCTCTCTCTCTCTCATATTCATATATATATAAAAAATTCTCCCACGCAACAGAATGATGTCATCAGGCTCGTTTGGCTGCAAAAGTGGCCAGAGACAGTGGTAGTGTAGCGAGCAGTGGGCACAGCCCCCTAGTAATATGTAAGTGTAAAACTGTTTTCAAAAACTTAAGTATGTGGTTATCTGGATGTATGATTTCAACATGACCGTTCACATGCTTAACTTTTTGCAGAACTAGTGTTTAGAGCCCCAATCCTGCAAATTCTTTACCATGTGTTTAACCTTGTGTGCTGGCAGTTGTTTCATTGGAGATAAGTGGAACTGCTGCAG